GGGTGGGACTTCCTGGAAAGCTTTTTAAAAACAAATGGAATTTGTCACACCTGCAATCCCAGCTCTTTGGGAGGCTGAGACAGGTGGATCACAATGTCAGGAGTTCAAGACCAGCCTGGACAACATGGTGAAATCTCATCTCTATTAAAAATACAAAAATTAGCTGGGCATGGTGGCAGGCACCTGTAATCCCAACTACTCAGGAGGCTGAGGCAGGAGAATCGCTTGGACCCAGGAGGTGGGGGTTGCAGTGAGCTAAGACCATGCCACTGCATGCCAGCGTGGGCAACAGAGTGAGACTCTGTCTCCAAAACAAAAATAGGAATTATCTACAATGAGTAAACTCACAGAGACAGAATGCAGACTGGTGGTTACCATGTGCTGGGAGGAAGGGCGAATGGGAAGCAACTGCTTAATACATACAAGGGCTCCTTTAGGGGTGATAAAAATGTTTGAAGGCCGGGCACGGTGGCTCACCCCTGTAATCCCAGCACTTTGGGAGGCTGAGGCGGGTGGATCACGAGGTCAGGAGTTCAAGACCAGACTGGCCAACATGGTGAAACCCATTTCTACTAAAAAATACAAAAATTATCCAGGCATGGTGGCTTGTGCCTATAATCCCAGCTACTTGGGAGACTGAGGTAGAATTGCTTGAACTGGGACCCGGGAGGTGGAGGTTGCAGTGAACCAAGATTGTGCCACTGCACTCCAGCCTGGGCTACAGAGCAAGACTTCATCTCAAAAAAAAAAAAAAAAATTTGGGAACTAGATAGAGTTGGTGGTTGCACAAACATGGTGAATGTATTAAGTGCCACTGAATTGTTCATTTTTAAATAGCTAATTTTATATTACATTGATTTCCCCTCAATTGAAGGGAAAAACCAACAGATGGTTTCAGCCAGCACTCACTTTTTGTGCTTTGCCTTTCATCTTTTTCTGCCAGGGATGAGGATGTGATGCCTAGAAGACAGTAGCCATTTTTTTCAGCATAAGCAAAGAATTATAGTAACAATAACAGCTAACGCCTATAGAGCACTTAATATAAAGCCAGGTACGGTTCTAAGCTTTTTATCTACATTGACTCATTTAATATTTAAACCAACCCTATAAGGAAGATACTGTTATTCCCATGTTACAAATGAGAACACAGGTACAGAGAAGAAAATTCATGGCCCATGCCAAGGAAGGCATAGTGAAATCTAGTTGAAGGCTGAACCTTCCATGCACAATGGAAACTCTGTAGCAGCCCTGGATACCTACCTTGGTCTTCTTAACTATTTGAGAAAAACACTCCCTATTTAATTAAGCCATTTTAGTTAGGTTTCTATTCCACACATTCTGAGATTGAAAGCCAGGTATGTCTGACATCTATGCAAGTGTGCCTAACCACTCTGCTCTCCTAGCCTGCAAAAAGTGGTCAAGTGCTTGTGGGCTCTCTGATCCCAGTAGATGGTGGCCCTCTTGAAAGTGGAGCGGGGGTCTTCCTCCACTTTGAAGTACCATCATTGAGCATGGGTCCTGGTCCAGCTGGAGCAGTGCAGTGTGTGATGGGATTAGCAGTTTGGACCCAGAGAAGGGGCTCAGAGTGCAGTGAGGGAGACATTCCCTGGTGTAAAACAGACATCAAAGATAAAGTGAGCCCAGAGGCAGGGGAACTTCATGATGGTCAGGATCTAGACAGATGAAGAAGACAGAAAATGGGCTTTCCAAACAAAGAGGACAGCTTTTGAGGGAAAGCATCAAGGTGTGAATGTACAGAGTGGCGTTCAGGAAGTACCAATAGCTGGGCGAGGCTGGAAAAATGGGCATGGATGTCGAGAGAGGGAGAAATCAGTTCTGAAGGGTGAAGACTCAGAACTCAGGACTTAGAACATTGAAAATCATCTGTGCAGAGATTTCTGTGTCTTACTGCAACCCCAGGAGAAATGGCAGGAGGTGTTTCTCCCATTTTACAGACAGGAATTGATTTCAGAGAGGCTTGATTTGGTTAATGTTGCCTCGTTAGCAAGTGGCAAGAGTGGGACTTGGACTGGGGTCTTTTAAACTCATGCCCCACACTTGCCTGCTTGAGCAAGTGGTGGTCAGCCTGCCTCTGTGGGTAGGGAGGGACTGCAGAAGTGTTCTGAGCAGGAAAGGGATGCTCCTTCTATAGGAACTTTCTCTTTTGCCAGTGCATTTGAGGTGACTTTCTGGGGCATGGAGGCAAACTCGTTCATTCGTTCGTTCATTCATTCATTCATTCATTCATTCATTTATTTATTTATTTATTCAAAGAACACTTGCTGAGCTCCTTCTGTGCACCAGACACTCTGTGTTATCATGGAGCTTACAATTTAGTGACAAGAGAGACAAGAACCCAGTAGAAAAAAAACCCAAACAATTACAAACTGTCAAGGGCTAGGAAGGAAACAAGCAAGGTGATGCAAACTTATGTTAGAAAGAGGCGTCAGGGATGGCCTCCTTGACAGGTGACGGACAGTATGTTGAACTGATGGAGAGGAGGAGCCAACTCTGCCAAGAACAGAAGGAAGATGTTCGGGCAAAGAAAGCAGTGTGTGCAAATGCTCGGGTAGGAAAAGCTGGTAGGTTTGAAGAACTGAATAAAGGCCCTGAGGCTGGGTGGCGGTGAGCTGAGCATTGACCATCAGGCAGGTAGGCAAGGGTCAGATCATGAGGGCACTGAGATGCCAAGTCACGAGTGTGTGTTGTGTCTCGGGTGGGATGGTAAGCCACTAGAGCCAGGAGGTCAGCCTGCCTGTCCCAGCAGGACCAAAACCCTGTGACCTTGTGGAAGAGGGAGATTAGGGAAGGCAGGAGGGGCTCAACCAGCTGCAGTGGAATCTCATGTAAAGGAGGCAGGGGCATTAAGTTCTAAAATCAGCAGGTAAGGCAAAAGTCACATGCAGTCCTTAGGAATTCAGTAAGGAGGCTGGATGCGGTGGCTCATGCCTATAATCTCAGCACTTTGGTAGGCTGAGGTGGGTGGATCACTTGAGATCAGGAGTTCGAGACCAGCCTGGCCAACATGGAGAAACCCCATTTCTATTAAAAATACACACACACACACACACACACACACACACACACACACACACACAAATTAGCCTGATGTAGTGGTGTGTGCCTGTAGTCCCAGCTACTTGGGAGGCTGAGGCAGGAGAGTTGCTTGAACCCAGGAGATGGAGGCTGCAGTGAGCCAAGATCATGCCACTGGGTGACACAGCAAGATTCTGTCTCAAAAAAGCAAAAATTCAGTAAGGAGCTTATTACATTTTTGTGAGTTCAATCCTTATAGTAATAGGTATGTTTTTACATACTCTACATAATAATATGCAGTATATGGAAAAAGCATGTATTTGCACTATATAAAAAGTGTATAATTTAATATTGCCTTTTTTTTTTTTTTTTTTTTTGAGACAGGGTCTTGTTCTGTCACCCAGGCTGGAGTAATGGCACAATCACATGCCATGGCACAAGTTGCAACCTTGAACTTCTGGGCTCAAGCCATCCTCCCACCTCAGCCTCTGGAGTAGCTGGGACTACAGGCATGCACCACCGCACCTAGCTTTTCTTTCTTCCTTTCTTTTTCTTTCCCTTTCTTTCTTTTTCTTTTTCTTCCTTCCTTCCTTCCTTCCTTCCTTCCTTCCTTCTTTCTTTTCTTTCTCTCTTTCTCTTTCCTTATTCTTTCTTTTTCTTTTTTTTTTTAATAGCAGAGATGAGGTCTTGTTGTGTTGTCCAAGCTGATCTCAAATTCCTGAGCTCAAGCAATCTTCCTGCCTCGGCCCCCAATATTGTGTTTAAACACATAAAAGAGAGACAAGCGAGTTGGCTTGTACCTATAAAGTTGTTTGTGTGGATTACAGTGTAAGTACACTGAGACTCCCCAGAATGGGTGCTGTTGCTGCCCTGTCCAGATCCCCTTTCCCAGCTGCCATGATGTAGCCTACTAACAATCACAGCTGCCCCTTCTCTTGAGAATTGTCTTCAGCCTAATAGAAGCATCCCATCTCCCCGACCCTAGTCCTTGCCAGTCCTGGGGACAGACTGGTGAGGGGTATAAAAGGCTGGTCCTCTTGCCTCAATGTGAGACTGACTCTGTGGAGTAATTGACTGGGACCTGTTCATCTTTCCTCCTTCCTCTTTCCCTCTCTTTTCAAAATTATTATTAGATACAGGATCTCACTATATTGACTAGGCTGATTTTGAACTCCTGACCTCAAGCAATCTTCCCTATTCGGCCTCCCAAAGTGCTGGGATTACAGGCGTGACCCACTGAACCTGTCCAGATGATGACCTTGACCTCTGATTGCCACATAACTGGGACTCAGAGACCTTCTTGCATATCTGTGGGAAGGGGAGTATGCTCTGAACTGCATTTCCTCACCAGCGTCACCCATTCCTTAAGAGTCAGGCTGATAAACGAGTCAATGCTGAGCCCAAACCAAGCAGGATTAATCATTTCCTCCTCCACACTGCTGCGGCTGCATCCTGTGTCTGAGTCATTTCCTTGTCCCCTAATAGTTAACATGATGCCCAGTACAAAATAGGTATAGGGGAATATTTACTGAATAAATGTCACTGAATATGACGCTATTGGATGTTGGGTCCACTCAGTCCATTTGGCCACATTTTAAACAGCATGAGGGTAGGTTTTTTGTTTTTTGTTTTTAAGACACTATGCAAATAGGTAGAGCCAAGTTTTACTCTTTGGTGTGGGAAGGGCAGGATGGTACAGTGCAAGAGCCTGAGCTCTGCAGACACTTAGGAGTCCTGTGCTTGAATTCTAACTCTGTCCCTCTGGGTCTTGAAATTTTAGACAAATTATTTCTCTTGGAATCTCAGTTTCTGCATTTGTAAAATGGGGGTGATATTAAGAACAGCTATGTGATAGGTGATTAGGAGGATTAAATGCAATAATGCACCTAAAATTTCCATCACTGGCCTAACACAAAGTAGGAGCTCAGTAAATATTAATTTTCTCTATTCTGTATTTCCCATAGGACCTAGAACATGACAGATAGTAAATGCTAGGTCACCTTCAGGCCACCCTGGACCATCCAACTCTGGCTAAGCCATCAGCTGACTACAACTACATGAATGAGCGGGATATGTGAGCAGAAGAATCACCCAGCTGAGCCCAGCCAACCTGCAGCATATAGTATCATGAGCTAATAAACAATTCCTGCTTTAAGCCCTAAGCCCTAACAATTTGAGGTCCTTGTTATACAGCAAACACTGTTGCAAACAATGGAGTTTTAGGAAGAGCCGGGATGGAGCTGGTATTTAGGAGCAACTGAAACAAGGACTCTCTTGTCCTGTCTCATGTCTTTTTTTTTTCTGCACATTAGCTTCCTTCTCTTTCATAGCACATTGATTTTCTTCATGATGCAGAGAAAAAGATTGAGTTTTATAGCTGGTGTCTTCAAGATAATGGAGAAAAACTGATTCATTTCTCTGCATCTCAGATCTAAAAATCCCTGGGAAAAGACTCATTGGCCCAGCTTAGGTCAAGCATCCCTTTGGACCAATCAACTGGTGATGGGCTGGGGAGAGCACTTCATCACAACACACGCACTAGATGACATACAAGCAAAACTATATCCCAAGCACTGTTTTAAGGCTTAACAAGTGTTAACTGACTTCATCCTCATAATACAACAATCCAATCAGAGCTATTATTGTCTCTGCTTTGAAGTGAGGAAACCAAAAACAAGCCAGAGAGGTGAAGTAACTTGCCCAAGACTACACAGCTAAAAAGAGATGCAGCCAGGACTTACACCACAGATGTCTGACTCCAGAACCTAGGCACTTAATGACCACAATGGTCTGCCTCTCATATCGGGTTCCTGGGGGGTTCCAATGGATTGAGAGTGGGCAGAATGGAGGCATTCCAATGAAATGTCCGGAATGCTAACCCAGAAACGGAAGTCTCTGGGGGCCCTTAGTTGCACTGTCTTCAGTCCTCTAAACGACTCTCACTAGGCCATGGCAGTGGAAGGTTCTGGATGACCTCAGAAAACAAATCTAGGATCAGTGGGTGGACACCACTGGAAAGAGAGTTTCAATTCAATGGTTGGAATTTCTTCAGAGTCAGGGATGTTAATATTCAAGGTCACACAGCAAGCAACTGGCTGAACTGGGATTTAAACTTATATTTGAAGGAGTGCTAAGGCTTTGCTATCAACCACTGTGCCCCATCTTCATTTCCTTCTCAAAATGAGGAAAAGAATATTGGTGGAGGTGGGGCAGGGAGACACAGGGCCTACGTCTACCTACATTTCATTAAAGGCCTGTTGTTTCCCAGCAGATGGAGGCTGCCATGTGATCATCTCCAGTTACTCAGTGGGTTTGCCCTGCCCCTTGGCTGGTGTGTAAATTCCCTGGGGGGAGAGTCATGTGCCCTCTTAAATGCCCAGCCTAGCGCTGTTCTGGCTGGGGCCTATGGAATGGGGTAGCTGGGAGGACGCTTCCTGTAGTTCCTCAGCTGCCTCCTAGCATGGCTTAGACTTTGGGGGCAGGGTTGGGCCAGGCAGGAAGGGGCAGCTGGGGGTTTCCTCTGGGTGCGACAGCCTGGCTCTTGCCGGGCTGGAAGCCAAGCCTAGGAAGGAATTTCCCAGTCCTGTCTGAATTCTGTTCTCTCTTTTTATTTTTTTTTAGAGACAGAGTCTCCCTCTGTCACCCAGGCTGGAGTGCAGTAATATGGTCATAGCTCACTGTAATTTCGAATTTTGGGCTCAAGTGATCCTCTCCCCTTAGTCTCAAGAGTGGCTGGGACTAGAGGAGAGAGCCCTCATGCCCCACTAATTTTTTTTTTTTTTTTTTTTTTTTTTTTTGTAGCGATGAGGGTCTCACTTTGTTGACCAGGCTGGACTCAAACTCCTGGCCTCAAATCATACCCCCACCACAGCCTCCCAAAGTGCTGGGATTAGAGACAGACTAGAGCCACCGTGCCTGGCCTGAATTCTGTTTTCTTTGTGGAAGGAGGGAGAATAGCATGAGAAGATGGATCCTGTTCCTTACCTCCCCAGCAACTAGCCTTAAGGCAGAAGAGGAGAATTGGGGTAGTCTTTATTTGGGAGGAGGACTTTCTTATAAGGATTTGCTGCTTCTCTCCTACGAAGAGAATGATACTCTCACACCCCTAAAGCTAACAGGTGCCCAGGGAAGTCTTGGCTTACTTGGGTGACAGTGCTGTGAAACAGAAATATAAATGTGGGCCAGGTGCAGCGGCTCATGCTTGTAATCCTAACAATTTCCCATGCTGACGCAGGCAGATCTTAAGCCTAAGGAGTTTGAGACCAGCCTAGACAATATGGCGGAAGCCTGTCCCTACTAAAAAGCAAAACAAACAAACAAACAAAAATTAGCCAGGCGTGGTGATATATGCCTGTCATTCCAGCTACTTGAGTGACTGAGGCATGAAAATCGTTTGAACCTGGGAGGCGGAGGTGAGACCATTGCACTCCAGCCTGGGCTCTGTCTCAAAAAAAACGTATATATATATATACACAAGCATGAGTCACATATGAAATTGGAAATATTATAGTAGCCACACTTAAGAAAGTAAAGAGAAACACCTGAAGTTAATTTTAATAACAAATTTTATTTAACCCAATAGGTCCAAAATAATATCATTGCAACCTGTAATTAATATAAAAATTATTAATGAGACATTTCACAGTTGTTGTACTGGATCTTTGAAATTTGATGTGTATTTTTTACTTAAATCACAATTTATTTAATTTTTTTTTTTGAGATGGAGTTTCATTCCTGTTGCCCAGACTGGAGTACAGTGGCATGATCTTGGCTCACTGCAACCTCTGCCTCCTGGGTTCAAGTGATTCTCCTGCCTCAGCCTCTCAAGTAGCTGGGAGTACAGGTATGTGCTACCATAACTGGCTAATTTTGCATTTTTTAGTAAAGATAGGGTTTCGCCATGTTGCCCAGGCTGGTCTCCAACTGCTGACCTCAGGTGATCTGCCCACCTCGGCCTCCCAAAGTGCTGGGATTACCGGCATGAGCCACCTTACTCAGCCATACACCGCAATTTTGATTAGCCACCTGTCAGCGGCTCAATTCATGGCTATCATGTTGGACAGAACAATTTCAGGCCATAGATTCTGGAAATGAGGATGCAGAAATCTCAGCATTTCTGGATCCTAAGATTGCCTTTGGGAGGACTTTAAGGTCATCTGGTCAAGTCTCTCACACACAAGGAAATAACTTTCCTCAAGAAGACCCACTGCTCCTAGCAAAGTTGATGTCCTCAAGTGTGCATCCCAGTCGGAAACTCCCCCATTCTGGCAGCCTCCTGCCAATGGAGACAGGCTGCTGACAGCCAGCCTCAAGATGTAAAACAGGGGGAAGAGGTGAGACAGGAAGACACTGGAAGAATATAGAATGGACCCTATTCTGGCAGACTTCCTCTCCTCTCACCTTTTCTCTTTCTGGAGGGATTGTCACAGCCTGGGCACAGAGCGGTAAGGGATTCTTTTGTTAACTTCCCAAACTGGAATGGAGACTCAGGCCCTCCCCTTCCCTTCTGATTCTCATCTCTCCATATTCATGGCAGCTAGCAATGAGCTAGACTCCACAAGCTACAAAAAGGTGGAGGCCCTGGGGAGGACACACTTTGGTCAGAATCCATGCGGGAAGGAACAGTTAATTCTGCCTGGGGACCCAGGGCAGGCCTCCCTGCCGGTGGATGTCTGAATAGAAGGAGCTGTGGAATAGTGGGTGGCAGCGGTGGGGAGTGCTGAGGAGGGTTAGTGATGATGAGGGATGGCAGGTGAAGGGAAAGAGCATCCAGGAAGAGGGTAAAAATCCAAGAAAGGGGCAGTATGAGGGAGCTGGTCTCCTATTTTCCCATGGGCCATGGTCGCTGCTGCTCTTTCTCCTCCCCCAAGTTGCCTTGACTTTCCATATAAGAAAGGGAAAGGATATTTCTTTCTTTTTTTTTTTTTTTAAACAGAGACAAGGTCTCTCTTTGTTGTGCAGTCTGGTGACGAACTCCCAGCTTCAAGAGATCCTCCTGCCTCTGCCTCCCAAAGTGCTGGGATTATAGGCTTGAGCCACTGGGCCTGGCCAGAGATTCTATTTTTAAAAATCTGCCTGCTGGCCAGGCGAGGTGGCTCACGCCTATAATCCCAGCACTTTGGGAGGCTGAGGCGAGTGGATCACAAGGTCAGAAGTTCGAGACCAGCCTGGTCAACATGGTGAAACCTCATCTCTACTAAAAATTCAAAAAATTAGCCGGCGTGGTAGTGTGCACCTGTAATCCCACCTACTTGGGAGCTGAGGCAGGAGAATCGTGTGAACCCAGGAGGTGGAGATTGCAGTGAGCCGAGATCGTGCCATTGTACTCTAGCCCTGGCGACAGTGTGAGGCTCCATCTCAAAAAAAAACAAAAACAAAACAAAAAACTTTACCCTGAAAAATATGAATCAGTTGTTCCTCTGATAAGAGGATATTTCAAAATATTAGGCTCCATCTCAAAAAAAAAAAAAAAAAAAGTCTTGTTCAGCTGAGTTCCTATAAAGACCAGCACATGGTGGATAGCTAATGAAAGCTTGTTAGTGAATGGAGGAGAGGGCAGAGAGCAGATGAAGGGGCTATCAGGCTGAGGCCAGGCCAGCTGGGGCACAGAGTGCAGGACAGATGGAGGAGCAGGAAGGTGACTGGCGTGTCCTGAGCATCTGGTTTTTCTCCTCATCTTCAGAATCTCATTCACTCGCCTGATAGTGAGAGGTAGGTGATATTGTGCTCCCATTCTACAGATGAGGAAAATGAGGCTCAGAGACATTCAGTGACTATCTGGGGTTAAGGCTTCTTCTGTATGATTTCGAAAGCCCATCTTTCTAGATGCTTTCTGGCAGTCCTCACCTAGCTATTGCCAAGAACTGAGCAGTGAGCAAGTTCTTGGCAGGCACCTGCACCTTTGGGGAGGGAAGACTGTATCCCTGGGAATTCCTGGTGAAGTGGAGGGTTCCTGGAAAGGCCTTCTGAAGCAGAAGGTCACTACCAGGCTTGGTGATCACCCAGCCACATCCCCCTCCAACCCTAGGTAAGGGTGGGAGGCAGCTCTGAGAGGTAAAGTGGCTTGCTCACATGGGGAGTGGGTGGCTGGAGGTGGGATTGACTACTCTGCCCCTGGGCACTGACTCATGGCCATCACTGTGGGAAAACTACTGCCCATCTT